ATTTTGTTTATTCTTAATAGTTAATTTGTTTTCAATAAATTCATTTCGTTTTTGCCTTGAAAAAGTCCGCATTAGACGAAACGCGTCGCCTAGTAATACATTTTTCCTATTGTCTTTTACCTTTATACATATTGTCCTTTTTACAGGTTAACTCTGGGAAATATTTCATATTCACGTTTGTAATCAAAATATAGTGTGTTGTTTGAAATATAGACCTTTTCCTTACGCCAGGAGACACTGGGGAATGTAACATCCCCACTATTCTTCTAAGACTCTTTTATTTCAAAAGTATATTTTTCAATCGTAAGTTTATTCGGCACTTCAACAATTGTTATTGTCAGATCACCAGGAATTTAGAAAATCATGATTACATTATGACGGCACATATAATCTACTTATTTCTTCCAAAAATAAACAAATGGTAAAATGTTGTTTATTAATTATTTGCTCTGTAATAATATATACATTGTTCACTTTTTGTTTCACATCCATATAGGAAAATGGAAACTACCAGCGATTTGTACAGACTACTCCGAATTGTATAAAGGTCGTTAATCTTGCTAGGTTCGAAAGAGCAGCGGTTTGTAGGAAGAAGCTGCTCAGTAGAACTTAAATCTCAGCAAAGGAATACGAATATAATGAGGTTGGTTCACTAGAATGTACGTGGCATGGAACATCTTTGCCGAGAAAGTGAGGACTGGAGAATCTAAGGAATATACTTCGTTCATGGAAATAGCGATAGAGCAGCGAGTGGCTCACGACGTTTTCGCTTGGGAGAAAGTGGTTGTAGGATGGAAAATAATTTGTCAACCAAATTGAAGCGAGAGGCTTTTTGGACTTTATCGAGACTGGAAAGGGAAGACTGGACAGCCTCTGTCTATATATGGCGACAATACTGCAATTTCGGCCTGGTCTGGCTGTTGTAAACGTAGATGATAGCAGGAGGAGTCAGGTACTTAGTGGAACAGTACAGAGCACAGAAGATTTTTTCAAACCCTTTAGGGAGGCCTCGTATGTACGAGTTTCTAGTCTAGGTCTGGGTTAATTTTAATTCCCAGTAGTTGCTGAAGGAACAGACCTATCTGATGAAACATCCGTTTCTCGTAATTGGTGATAGTTTTGGGTCGGATACATGATGATGGAATGCCACTAGTTTTTGTTTACATTGAATATGATCAGCCAGATTTTCCCCCACTGTCATGTTAGAGGTACGTTAGAGGTGAGGTCGGCTGCCAATCTCTTATCATGGAGAGTTTGGGAGCTGTACCCATATATCGTTGTACCAGCATATATATATATATATCAACAAATGATCGGAGTATACAATTTGGCAGTTTATTTATGTAAAATGGTTGGTCCGAGAAGCGAACGCTGAGAGACGACGGTGCTTTATTTTTTTATTTACTCATAGTTCCTACAATACAAAACCTACGAGCCACTCAAGGTAGAGCGTTACTGACTGAGAATGTAAGGGAGGGTGAAGGAAGAGAGTATCATGATGACGAGTAGGATAGGTATCGGTTGTTGATCCTTGACTTCTAAATATTTAATTGATACAAAAATCTAAAGCAACCAATTTTGTACAATCTTAGGGAAATCTTAGAAGTGTCCATAAATTAATTAGTACATTATTAAAGCTGCACAGGTCTTTCAAGTTTTAACTAGAATTCAGAAACTTAGGAAAATAGATTCCCCTTGCATTTAAGGAAAGAGAAATATTTTTCGTTCCATTTTCACTGTTGCCCTTGAGAAAGGCATGGATCCATGTTCCCTACTCCTAGCATGGATTAAATTCCAGTATTAGTTGACTAACTCCTGAAGACGTTTTATGAGAAACAATTTATAAATTTCACCCGAAGGAAACGCTAAACTTCCTTCAGTATTACAAAGATCGATAACAGTTGATTTGGGAAGTCTATTTTCCTGAAAACGTTTTTAAGAGAACACATTAATAATTTTCTACCGACAGTTACGCTAACTGTTCGGTTATTGAAGACCTAAAATTTCCTGTATGGAAACGGTTGATTTTACAGTAAGCAATATTTTGCAAGCTGAAATATCATACTATTATATTCCTAATGAGTTTGATCCGCATTGTCTGCCACACACATATAGCTTCGTGACAGACCTATTTACAGAAAGTTTAAATATATGGGAACCGTCTTGACAGAAGATGGTAAGGGCGACACTGAGATCTGAAGGAGTATCGGGATGGCCAAGGACACATTCCAAAAGTTGTGCAGAGTACTGCGAGACAGGAGGATAACAAACAAAAGAATAGTGAACTGTTACGTGACATATGCCCTTCTTTACGGAAGCGATTATTGGACTATTTCTTCAAAGATTGAAGAAGAGACTCGAGGCGCCCGAGATATGGTTCTACAGAAGGATGCTAAGGATATCATGGGCCGAGCGTGTGAGCAACGATGAGATCTTAGAGAGGTAACAAACAAGGAGAAGGCTTATACTTAACATTAGAAAGAGACAGCTGAAATTACTGGGACACATAATGAGGAAGGAAGGCCTGGAGAATCTGATACTCACGGGTCGAATCGAGGGAAAGAGAGACAAGGGAAAACAATGCGGGACCTGGCGGCCTTAACAAGTGGATGACAGAATGTGGTGTGGGGGAGGAAGCAGAGGGAAGGAATTTGTTGGGAGCTGCAAGGGATAGAGGGACTTGGGGAGCCATGATTGCCTACTTCCTGAAAGAACATGGCACATAAAAAAGAAAAAAATCATTAACTAGTTAGAACTTAATTAGCAGTATGTATATCAGACGAAATTGGAGATTATTAATCAGCAAACAGAAAAAACAAATTGGAAGATATGGAATGGATTGAAAAAAAATATCCGCCAAGGCTATTTACTTCCGGTTGTTGAAGAACTCAGTTAAAAAAAAGAAAGAAAGATTTATAATATTGGTAGAATCCGGGGGTCTGGAATATTTCTACCAAATGTAATTTTAAAATTGACGTCGTCGTTCTTGTGAAGAATATCAATAAAATTAGTGAAGCGTTTCAATTGTGTAAGAAATGTACATTATTCGGACAATTGTTGTCCTCTTTGTCGCCATATTTATTACAACGTATATATTTTTATTTTTTGTTTAAGTCAAGAATTTCCATTTGATTGTTGATTGTTTTGTTTAATGGCATCTCAACCTTAGTGGTCACTTTGTGCCGAAATTGATTTTGAGTGACTTTAAAAGTCAAAAACGTATAGCTGGCAACATTATTGTTTCAAAAACGTATAGCTGGTACCATTATTGTTTCAAAAACGTACAACTGGCAACATTATTTTTCCGAAAACATTATCTGAGGCCTTGCTGTTGGATGTAGTTTATCGCCATACCCAGGACGCGGATATAGTTTATCGTCATACCCAGGACGCCGATGTAGTTTATCGTCATACCCAGGACGCCGATGTAGTTTATCGCCATACCCAGGACGCCGATGTAGTTTATCGTCATACCCAGGACGCCGATGTAGTTTATCGCCATACCCAGGACGCGGATGTAGTTTATCGTCATACCCAGTACACAAAATATTTTAATTCTATTTCATTAATTATTTGGGGAATCGTTATCTTTGCTGAACTCTAGATGGATATACCTTCCCATTGTATAATTGAACAGAATGAAATGAAAAAAAAGGACGATAGCTTAATGGATAGGTGTTTGAATTCCAGTAGAGTTTATTGCATTCAGTTTCTTGCCTAAAATATGAATCCATATCTTTCTCCTAGCTATGGATAAGTAGCAGGAGAGGGCGTGGTCTGTAGTCTCCGCTGGCAACCAGTCTAGAAGAAGGAAAACTCTAAATTCAAACCACCTGCTACCTTGTAGGTATGCCTGTATAACTTCCGAGAGGAGGGGCGGAGTAACCTTAACAAACCCCGTGCAAAAAGAACTGACAAGAAATTATACTATTCTGCCTTAAATATCACCATGAACTACAATTATGAGATGGGGAGTTATGGGGAGCTAAATGCACTAAATAAATGAATGAATGAAATCAAAATAAGTAACTCAAACTAACCTGAAGCAAAATAAAATAACGGTTGGTAGATTTTGTATCAGCAATCTTTCGTATATTCCGAACGACCGGAGAATCCTTTGCCAACCCCTACCGCACGTAGGAATTGCACATCGCATCTGTTTAATTATGATTTTTTTCCTCGTTACCTTGACTTCAAGGATTAAATCCCGCAGCAACTAGGCAACATTTGTAGTAGGAGATTGGCAACTAGGTATGAGCATTGCACTGACGACATTTTTACTTCGATGTCCTGTGCTAATAGTTTCATTTTTCACACTTCTCTTCCGGTGTCTTCTTTTCCTTTCAACTACGATCTCCAATAATTTGAATTAATATCATTCGTTATCTGCCTTTTTTTTAATTCCTTTTTTTAATTCCTTTTTCTTTATTGGATTTCTTCTCAAGAACGCTTTCTTAGTTTCTTTCAGACTCAGTAACAAATTGAGTGTCTTATCGCCTTGCTTGGAGTGCGATGATAAAAAAAAATAACGTAATATCGGTGCTATGGTTTAAAGAACGCTATCATCATATACAGGACTCCATAAATATACGAGAAACATGAAACGATTTTTCGAAATGACCATTTTTTTTACGTCGTAGACACAGCTACATTTGTGGAGTAGTTGAAATAGTCTTATGATATAAGAAAATGGGTCTATGATATTAACAATTATAGAATAAATGTACAGTATTTACATTAGTCGGACTCTTGTCCTCATCTTTGTCGCCATATTTGTCACAACGTTTCGGCCGCTGTACGCTCCGGCCTTCTTCAGGTGGTTGGAAACGTTGTGACAAATATGGCGACAAAGATGAGGACAAGAGTCCGACTAATGTAAATACTGTACATAATACCTCACCTCAGAAATATAGACAGACTCTGATAGAATAAATGATTTTTCATTCATTATGTAATAAGTTCGGCTAAATTTGTTGAGCACCTCTTAGGAAAATATCACGTTCAAACACCGGTTCTCGTACAATCAGCAAAGTTAAGGTACCTCGAGCCTGTTCAGTTCCTAGATGGGTAACCACTTGGGAATGCTGGGCGCTGTAAGCTTGCAGGTACGCTTGGTGTAATGTATAATATCTTGAGATTGGAACTAGTTATATTCACTTACAAATATTCTTGTGAAAGGTATTCACCCACCTCTTCTACGTCGAGATATGGGTTGATTATTAAGACTTGTATCACAAAGACCATTATTATCTCTAAAAATGTTCTAATTTCTAAAAATCTAAAATTATTTTCTGGCTTTAAAAATGGTTGATAACCCATTAAAAAACAAAACAAATTAATCTACAAGGGTCATACCCATGACATTGAAATGACTAAAGAAAGAACAATGTCAACCATCCTGTTAGAGGAACTAAACATAGCAAAACAAAAAAAAAGAAGAAAAATCCGGATAAATAAAATCCGTCAAGAAGGTATAGTGCCGTTTGTATTACTTGAGCTGCAGCCTGTAATCCAACCGCCATTCGCAAGTGCTTTTTTTTTAAAGGGAATAACGAAAGATAGTGCTGCTATCATATTTTACGAAGAGGTTTTCTTCTTGTGGCTCTTCCATAATATGGAGATTAAATTAGGAAACACGTGCGCTGAATACGAACTTCACCTTAGTTTCGCTCTATCAGGTCCTGATTCTTATCAACCGCCTATGTGCCATTTTCCAAATTTTTCGAATTAGGATTATAAAATTAAGTCATGTGTTTTGGGTTTTTTTTTTCTTTTTTGAAATTTCATGAATACAAGCAGTAAAATTATATTACAACGATAGAAATGACTTAAAATAAAACAAACTAATATGAAGTTTTCACTGTGGCAAAAACTATTTTACAAGGGACCTGCCATCAACAAGCAAATACGCTAAAAAGCGTCTATATTTCTGAGATGAGGTATTATGTACATTATTTACATTATTCGGACTATTGTCCTCATCTTTGTCGCCATATGTATTACAAAGTTTCGGCCGTTGTACGCACCGGCCTTCTTCAGGTGGTTGGAATGTCGAACTGAACCCTTTATTTTAGAGGGAAATTAGCAGGAGATAACTGATATTGACATCCATGAAACATGGCACGTGGAACTAGAACAGTCTACCCCAGTGAGCGAAATAAAGGGTTCAGTTCGACATTCCAACCACCTGAAGAAGCCCGGTAGGCCGAAACGTTGTAATAAATATGGCGACAAAGATGAGGGCAATAGTCCGAATAATGTAAATAATGCTAAAAAGCGTATTTGCCTGTTGATGGCAGGTTTCTTTTCAAGCTCCAGCAGTAATCAGACGTCTTAATGTAAGGCAGACAAACAAGGACAATTTTCTTTTTCCAACTGCAGATGCTGATGTTATATTTGCAGGGTAATTTATATGAATTTTCCGCTTGATACTAATCATTTCCCGTTAGTATGTGTCGGGGTCTTCACTTATGGTTTTTCCCTCTGTCCTGTAGGCATTAGACGATCCCTACATTCACACTATATGGATGTAGGGAATTAATGATGTATTTTCCGGTGAAGGTTGACTTGCGATATACATTCTCTGAGCGACTTGGTTCTGTTGATATTGTATACTTTTCGTTTAACATTTATACTGTGAACATGCATTTTATTGAATGATATCTGACGATTTCATGAATACAAGTAGTTCAAACTACAGGAAAATTGATTTTTTAATTAATTTTCTTATTTGTACACAGTCGAAAATTCCCGCCTTATTTCATATAGTAACTTATAATGAAATAGGCAATTACAGTCTATGAACTTAAACTAGAAACATGGATGTGTAGGTATAATATAAATGACTTAAAATTAAAAAAAAAAAAAAACAGATATGAAGCTTTCACTGAGACAAAAATATTTTACAAGACGTTTTTTAGCGTATTTGCATGTTGATAGCAAGTCTCTTTTCAAGCACCACCAGTAATCAGCCATCCTGTGGGAATCCCGACGGCCTTGGTACCATTCCTCTATAATTTTTATATCTTCACAGAATCTCCCCTCTCCTTCGTCACTTACATGACCTAAATTACCTGGAAATTAGTCAAGATGATTGTTCAAAAAATGCATTTTTACGCTCATATTGCAAACTAAATCTTTGTAGGACCTTACACATTTTGTTTACATTTTCTTTTTAGTTATCTGCTCTATATTTGCCTAAAATCTTTTTCTACCAACTCCACGAATAAGAACCAAACATTATTTCACATTCATTCATGGCATTAGGAAAATAGCTGCCTGTAATTAATGCTCTTTTTTGTGCAACGTCAACAATTCCCGCCTTGGTTTCAATATGGACTTAGGAAATAGGTACTTACAATCTATGAAATTAAACTAGAAACATGGATGAGTAGGTACAATATAAATTACGTCAAATTAAGTCATCTATTAAATCATGATGTCAAAATTACTCACTAAATCATATGCCCATTCAAAATTATGTTAATGCCGAAACTTAATTAACTGACTTGCTGAAGTTACTGATTAACTCCGGGAACGAGTTGCTTTTATATATTTTATTTGTCCCTCTAGAATATTCTACAGAAAACAGAAACGCTCGAGAAAATTCTAGAATTCAATGATATTTTCTTTTAATTTACTAATATAAAAATTGAATAAAAAGAGAAAATTAAAAATATGTTTAGGCTGTTACATATAAAATCATAAAATACAATGCCATAACAATTGGTACAAATACCTAGATAAAAATCAAGGTGTATAATGTTTAACTGACAAAAGGCTTATCGAATGTTGAGAAAAAAAAACAATTTTTTTATGACTACTACGAAAGGGAAAAGGGGTGTTGAGCAAAATCAGAACCCGTTAAACAAAACTGTGTAACAATTACATCGAACTAACACTCAAATTTAATTTAATAGACGAAAAATTGAAATCCCCAGTGTTGTGTAATTGGTTATCATTTTTATGCTGCAACAGTAATATTTAATAATCTATAACTTGAAATTACAGAACTCAAAATAGCAACAAATGTCCATGTCTCCAAAACCTTACCAAATATCTGGCCATACAAGATCCAAGGATATAAACAATATTAGAAAGAAAGATTGATTTTAACTTTGGGAAAGGTACTATTTTTCGCCCCTGACACAATATGGAAGGTTTATTGCTCACGTTGTTGAGAAAATCAACTTTGCACTCGATGTACACACTGTGGTTCTATAGGATTGTCATCAAAATAAGTATTGTCCATATCTTTTAGCAATTCTTGAGCATTTAGGTTTAAAGATCATATGAAAAAAATATACAGAAATACATCATTTTCGCATGTTTTGCTCACAAACTGACTTCAGCCATTTAATATTTCACAAATAAATCTAAATAAAGTTGATATCTTTTTATTAGATACATCGAATGGAAAAGATATTTCAACTAGAATTTAGACTACGAATCATCACAAGCAAAACATGCATTTTTTTTTTATTGAATTCGATAAATAAAAACTGTGTAAAAAATTTTAAAACTTTACAAAAAAAGGTTTTTCAATTAATAACATTTGTTGGATTATTTGTTAGATCATAATTAATAAAAGCAAATAAAAGTGTATATAAAAGCCTAATGCTGCTGGGCACAAATTATAAAACAAAATGTTTTAAATTTGCATTATTTATTGAAAAATCACACTAAAACTAATGCGCTGTATAACATATTATTGTTATGAATAATCAAGAGAAGTCTCCACTCGTTTTGTTACTCTCCTATTTGAGAGAGCTATTTCTGTTTACTGGGACTGTAAAAGGACACTATACGCGAACGATGAATTCTCCGTTGAATAAACCTCTCTTAAAGCCTACACCTGCGTACTTTTATCATTACAATTACATTATAATATAGCTAAATTGTAAAGGAAGTTCTTATTTGATGGGACAATGAATCAGTAGTGGTGTGTTTGTGCCATGCATCTTGTCTATATACAAAGTGTAAAGATTCAGTAAATTACACATTTTAAACAAAGCCTTATAAAATGTCTAATAAAGTTGCAGAGCTACGATTATGAACCCCAAATTAATGTTTAAACTCGTCTCCTCAAAAAACGGTAACGATTGGAAAAAAAAATATTCCGTGTCCTTATTGATCATTTTAAATCCGAACTTTTAAATTGAAAGCAATATTACATTTCCAAAATCGACCTGCTCTAGTGACACAAGGTTTTATGTCCAGAGTGCTCGGAATCAAATAGGGTCGTCTTGAAAAAGACACGCAATCGATACACATGCCGTTGTAGTATCTATCATGCATTCTCTACCCCCGTCAGAAATAAAGGGGATGCATTTTAGCTACGAGGTACGACGGAATTGGCAATTCGACTAGGTAGTTCTTTCCATGCATCGCCGGAGCGTTTTCGTGCTCTCCGAATAGGAATACAAGTGGGTTCGTGACTGGATTAATACGCTGGCGTGTAAGCAACAGAGTCAAGGCAGTAGTATGCCCACTGGCATCACGAAAGGAATATATATTATGGTAAATAGATTCTAGGTGGAGAGATATTAATGTTAGTTTTTTTTTTTAAAAAAAAACTACTCTCTTATATCTACGTAACTGAATTTATATGCATGTTTACTGGCATAAAATAAGTGTAAATATTTACTTATATATGCACAGATAGTGGAGAGCGTTCAGTGAAAATGATGCAACGAGAATAAATTCTAAATAAGTCACCTTCTCCTTTGCTATAATGACCTTGCAAAAGGCATGAACACATCCCTCAAATACTGGTTAAATATCAGGACGTGGAGTGTGACAGATCTTGAATGAAATCTCTGAATTCTACCCCACCTAATAGAGAAGAATATTATTGTTTTATCTTTAGTTTTGCAAGGGGTCTAGGAAAAAGTCATTTTCCTCTTTTATGGATTTGTCTCTTGAAGAACTGAGTGACCATGACTCTCCTCATCTTCCTGCCAATTGCAGATCTGAAAAACATTTGTCGCTTTAACATTAATCTGTGTTCCGATTTTTCACAATACTATGTAAGTGACAAAAAAAAAATAGAATACTTCCGTTAGAAACAAAGCAAAGTCTATTGACCTTTTACGTAAT